CGCCAAACACGTTGGACTCCACACTCCATACCTTTCGTGTTTTCACACTTACGGTTTTAGTGTCATGCAGGAGCGCTCCGACTTGCCCCTCCCTCTGCAGAAACGCCTGCCTTTGAAGCAGTTGAGCTCGATGGTCGATGGAACATTCACAGGGAAGCAGATGGACATGAAACTCACACCTCATGCAGCCCTTGGCCGGGCCATCAGGGTCTACCAACATGCAATTTTTGCTCATGAAATGCGGGAGTTTAGCCTGGAGGAGGTCTACAGCAAGAGTGGGTATTCAAACAATGGTATGACCGGCAGCTTCAATAAGCATGCAGTCATCAAGGACATGGTCACCGAACGACTCTTAGATGTCCAGGAGATCATCGAAGTGCTATGCGAACATGTTGAACGAATCTATAAGGTGTTTTGCCTTCACTAATTTCCAAATTGTTCTGCTTGTGAGCTTTCTACTTTTTCTTGTATCACATGCTTTGGTCGTGAAGGGCATTGATGATCAAATCATTCCTAGTTCAGGTTGGTCCTATCAAATTGGGGAATCCATTGCAAGCAGGAAGTAGAATACATTAGAATACTGTAAACATTCTTGCGAAGCAACCCTCTCCGCAATGAGCAGTTGCATTAAAGGCCACTGTACGGCTAAGGCCCCTGTGGCAAAGATCCACGAACTTCTTTCCAACCAACACGCTATGATGAAGGATCAGACCAACTTCAAGAACCTTCTGGATTCCACATATGAACGTCTCGTTGTCTCACAGCTTGGAAAGGGCAACGAGTTCCTTCAGGATCTTGTTCAGCACAGTACTGCATCTGTCCGCGTGGACCTGATGCAGAAGCACCTTGATCTAGCCATGCTTGCAGGAGCCAGGCCCAGGAAGGACAGTTGTTGGGCGCAGACCGTGAGCTGTAGCTGCTTCAAGGGTATTAAGCAGTACCTGAAAGTATTGCAAGGATTATTGGATGGTGAAGCAGACACGGATGACGTCCAGGTGGCCCAACGCATGCCTGCGATGACCAACTTTGTAGAAGGTGGCGGCGAAGACTTTCCTGTAGAAGATTACCAGAGGGTGGACGTGGATGGGCTCAACAAAGCAGCAGATAAGTACTTCACGATCTTGAAGGGACAGATCGCAATCTTGGTGGAACAGACCTTGGACGACAAGGTCTACACGTTCATGGAAGGAAATTCTCTGAATAGCAACATTTACACGGGCATCTTGTGTCAAGTCCACAGGGAATTGAAAGGAAAAGACTTGCCCGAGTTTGCTGGAGGGTTGTGGGTCATCCAGAGGATTCCACCTGCATCGATTTGTTTTGTTTTATAGCATGCTTCATTGGCTCCTTGCCACAGGTGCAGAGCAGGTGGAGATGCTTGAAGGGCGACTGAAAGAAAAAGAGGAAGAGCTTGCTCTTCTGCAAGAAGCTTTTGTGCGGCTCGACGCTTCCATGCCGGGCAACTTCGCTTGGGCCACAACACATGCCAGAGCCTCAACTCTGCTTGTTTTGGTGAATGATCTTGAACTCAACAGGGATGTACCCCATTTGAAGGGCTGCATGGTTTGCTTAGTTTCCCATGCGATTTATATATCAATAGGACTTCGGCAGCCAGGAAACGCTAGCTAGCGAAGACTTCGTTCTCACACACGCACTCTGCCGGCACCCAACATCAAAGACTTTTAACAGCCCAAGTACACTTTTGCAAACAGTATGTAGCCCTTGAGAGCCCGGCAAATTCAAGCGTCAAAGGCAGAGAACCTCACACATGACCAGCTGACATGCGCTTATACACCGGTCAAAACCAGATTGTGTTGCACCCTCGGTTGTAGTGTGGATGAACCCTCACTTGCGACCATACTGGCCACTACTGATACTCCTGCAGGGTTCCATCATGATTCACGTTTTCTGCCGCAAGGCCAGGAACGCCACGAGTGGCGGGGCGTAGCTGCGCAGCACAGCGCATTGCGCTGCTCCGCTCGACGGGCCGCCAGATCGCAAGAGCCGGTCTTCGGAGGCCAGTCAACGGCGGCCACTGCTGCGCGACAGGGCAGATCATGGAGACTCCAAAATGGTCCACCACAAGAGGGTGTTGCTTTTGTCTTTCCTAATCTTTTTTCGTTTTCTATGGCTGAAGATTGAAAAGGGCCAGCTGTTGTTGCAGTTTTGGCAGTGGGCTGCTTGACAGACACAGAATTCGCTCATTGCATGGCATATCGAGGCGATCCTGGCACAGAAAGTACTTGCCAGACATGCAAAATGACAAGGTTGAAATGATCTAGTGATGCGTTGAAACCACGTTGCGCAAAAGAATTGGCTGTTCTGTGGGTGTATGGTGTGCTTGACTGCCAGTGATCCAGACCCTGACACTACGAGGGGTGGTGGCTGAAAGAGGTCCCAGACTCGACCTTTTTTTCGGATCAAACAGAGCGAAGTTGGACCCAGTTGATACACCGGCGAACAGGAGCCAATCCAGTTTGGCCGTGTTTGGCCTATTAGCCTATGGATATGATTTGCTTGGATGAAGGGCTGGTAGCGTGAACGGGATCCGAGATTGACACTGCCCCAGCTGGGCTGCCAGCAATGGTTGTCTGGCCATGTGCATCGGTAGATTTACTAGAGAAGGCGCGAGAGAAACAGATGCTGTCTTGCAGGTTGGCTAGGAAAACGTTCGTGGATCCCAAGTCCAGATGAGGAACATTGAGCCGTAGGCTGTAGTGAAGAGGTGTGCTGATGTGGTAAGATTCTGTCCAAATTTGCCTGTTATCAGCATATACGAAGCAGACGCCGTCTCAAGACTCTCTAGTCAAGAGAATACGAAGGTATGCGTTTGTGCAAATGGCTGTTCATGTGACTCTCAAACACAAGCTCTTTTAACTCCAGCTCCCACGGATGGGGCCCCGATTCTGGCTTCTAAGGGTTGCTGATCCGGGACACTAATGGAAAAGCCAGGTTGAAAGCAGCCTGCCTTCGCTCCTCATTAAGCTTAGCCAGTGAACACCCATTCTCCCATCCTTCACTACAGCCGTGGTGAGACAACATCAGGACGCAGCAAAGATGTGCAGGGCTGCAACAATTCACGGTAAATGATGGGGCAAGCTCGGCAAGCATGCTGGTATCTGCCAGGTGGGTCTTTAGAACCTATAGCTGATTCAGCTTAGCCACTGAACGCATTGAATCCAATGAACGACTATTTTTAAATAATGCGGAGCTCATGGCTTCAAGCTTTCCAAGAAGCGCGAGCACCAGGCACGGGAGCTCATGGGGTCTGTGGGGCAGTCTAGGAGAATGACCACCATTGGCGTGAGACAGTGAGTGTTGAAACAGTCCCGTGTTTACGGACGATTCATGATGATCGGAGTTGTTTGAATAAAGGTTGGAACACATATCAGTCTGCGTGCCATCAATCTGATGGACCCACAAAGCGGACAGATAGCAACTGCAAGTGGAATTATTGCGCACATATTCAACAACATTCTTGTTACTTGTTCGATTGAAGGTCATATAGATGGGAACGATCTATCGTTTTCGTGTTAGTGAGGAAGCAGGATCAACGCCTGCTCTTCAATCAACTTTGGGGCTTTCACTCGATCTGTCATGAATCATGATCTAAAAACAGAGGTTTAGAATCAGCAGCTGAATCATGAGCGCATGAGCTTTGCAGCGCAGAGTGGAATCGAGTGTTCACATGTTTTCACCGCCTTTGCTAAGGTCAGAGGCAGTGTACACAAGTAAGTAAACATTTCAACTGTGGCGAGGACAGCCCTAGGTCCGTTCGGTCCGAGATGCCAATAAACCATCTCTAGACAAGCTGGCGCATCCGCCGTCACTGTGTCAGGGCGATCCGTGTCTGTCAGGGTCTCAGGAAAGGTAAGGGCCATGGGACCAGTCTCCTACTTGTTTGCATATGATTTCCGTCCATGAAAAGATCTGTCTTGAGACCCCAGGGCCCCTGTCGAAGCGAACCGGAACGTTATGGGTCTCATGGAACGTGGGGTGCATCCCTCAACCAGGGCCAACCAGCTGAAGTGTTTGCCTCACACGAGCATGACTTTCGGCTTCATCAAATTCGCTAGTCACGGCGAAGATGGAGGTTGCACTGGATCCAATGAGCTGCGGTTGAGCTGAGGTTCCTTCCATAGGGCGGTCCTTGGGAGTGAGCATGAAGATTCTTCATGGCTGGGCATGAAACTGTGTATCATATGTGACATGTGGTACCCACCTCCAAAAACGCATGGTCCTAGAGAAAAGACTACTTAATTTATCTTCTGAGTTTGATAATGAAAGATGGTTCGGGTCAACTGGTGTGCTTTCCAGTTGCCAGAGTTGCCACACCGCCCTGCTCGGCCCGCCCAGCCCCGCAGCCCGCGGGCTTAGCACCTGCGTCGTTTCGCCCACGTGATTCGGGCGCGTCGCGTCAATGGCGCGCTCGCGTGTGGCATTGATGGCCGTGGGGTCTGCCCTGGCGGTCACATGGCTCGGGAGCTGCTTTGTGCAGGCCGCTGGCCTGGTCCGGCCTGTGAGTGCTGACAGGGCAGGTTTGAGCGGAGTGAGCTGAGTGAGCTCTAGAAGTTGGAAGACTTTTTGAGATGTTGTTGTATGCACTGGAAAGGTCTAGGCGGACTCTTTTGCTCCTCTCATTGAGTTTGGAGTTGGATGTCATTTGGATGGTGGATTCCGTTGTGTTGACGTATGGTCTTGAGGACCAGCTTTAGTCCGATCTGGAGAAAATAAGTGAATTGTTTCTGTCCGGATGTTGTTCCAATGTCACAGCGCAGGCTCCAATTTCCAGCTCCTTGCCGCGTGTGGGTCTCTCGACGCAGCCACGGAATGCAAGTCATGGCAACGCAAGTTTTGCTGCGCCAACGTGGCCGGTCGTTGCCCTGGCAGGACTGGGTCCGAGAAACAGAGAGAATGACAACGAGAGATTGAGAAAGAGAGGGAGACCAAGTGATTCTTTTGAAGGGGCCAGAAGCTGAAGGTCACTAAATATGGTAGAAGCCAGTTCCTGTGCACCACCATACAAGTAATCCATCGGCAGAAGACCACCCTAACGATTGCTTTTCTTGGTCTCACTTGTCCCCTTCAACCAGGCAGTTATAAATCCTGTTTTCGTACTCCACATCCAAACTGCGTCTCAAACGTTGAAGTATATCTTGCACAAGACTCGTCTTGGCTCAATTCCCCAAATGCTGGTTTATATTGGAACTTTGTCAAACATGATCTTGGGGATTTGAGCCAAGAGTTCTAAGAGGCCTCGACCAGGTGGGTCGAACCGGACCCACGTGCTCGACCCCAAAAGTCGCAAGGGCAAAACGACGCGAAGCGAAAAGAACGAATGAACGAACTCGGGCCGCGCGTGCTGTCTTCGGCCAGGAGTGGCGGCGCTGGCAGGAGCTTGACCCAGTTTGAGTTTCTGGGTGTTTCGCTTTGATGGGTCCGGGGAAAAACTACCCAAAGAAGTTTCTGCGATCAACCCTGAAAGGCACTGAAAGGCACTGAAAGGTGTATATACAATTTCCTTTTAAATAAGACGGATATGTAGATGTGGTCTCTGGGTGGATGGGGCTTATCGACATCGACGCGTTTGACTACTAGTCAGGGCACAAGAAAGCTCACACAACCGTTTCAAGCCTAAGGGCAACACATTTGTAGGCTTAGCTCCGTCCCAAGCGGCACAGCTTCGCATGACCTTCTGATCATTTACATTCTTAGCACAGGTGGCCTGGCGAAGAATCACTACTTGCCTGGCCAGTCACCATGCGATCAGGAGCTACATCCCGAAAGTCCAAGACTGCGCGCAAGGCTTCGCTGATCGCCACGCGCCCCGATCAGGCCCAAGGGCGGCCGCCCCCCATGGAGGGCTGGCCTAGGGCGGGAAGGGCGTGGCAGGGGAAGAGTGAAGAGAGAGAGAGAGAGTAGTTGGTTTTTGGCACCGGGTGCAGCTCTTGCAGGTCATGTAGACGACGTAGCCAAAGCTATAGCACAGTTTGGATCCATTTTCTTTAGCACCATATGGTCAGCCCTTTTGCTTGTTGGCAATCAACACAAGCATTCCTCGTAGTGCTTCCAATCTAGTTGTTTTTTTGCTTAACACGACTCTGATCAACCCAACCGACCCAATCAAACCAATCAAGACCATGCAACCACATCAACCCAAGCATCCCTTGGCTTAGAATCGCTGCTGCTGTTCCATCATTCTAGCTGGACATCGCTTCCTTTGGTTTGGCCAGGCAGTTCCTTGGTGGGATCGATTGTCTAGGCCCACCATTGAGCCCGGCGTCGGCATTTGGGCGGATGCTTGGGCCATGGAAAGATGTGGGAAGTGAGG